TATACCATTTGTAAGCTGATAAGCTAGTTTGCCATAGTTTCATAGATATTGACAGGAGACATGAGATTCCTGGTCAGAGAGAAAGCACTTTGGTACTTACAACAATTGCAGTAGCCAGAGTATCAGCATTTTCTTTTCCCCGACTCTCCAAGCTCAGTTTCTCACAATGCAATGTGAAGAGGACTAGGTGACATCCACACATGCAGTGCAGGAGAGAGTTGCCTAGTTTAAGGATCCTGAGTATTGTATAATAGATAATAACATGCTTGTCTGCTGTTCTGGAGGGAGATGCCATCTTTATCTTCCAAGACTACAAGCAGACTTTCCCTTTGCTCTGGAAGGAAGCATTATATCTTTCAAAGCTATAATTCATTGTACAAAATCCTTTAAAGGACTCTGCAGACTGTGCTTCTACTTATAAGATGGGCAGAAATGCACAAGGCCAATAGAAAATTGTCTCCCATTCTCCATGGAGAGACTCTCTTGCTGACTTTGAAGAAGCAAACTGTAAAGAGATATACTGTATTGATATTCCATTTTTTTAAACAAATGGCCATAACTATCGTCTTAAAACTACACATAGTATGTCACATCTTTAAACTATACATATTTATTGTCTTACAGTTGCTATGGGTCAGGAATCTATGTATATCTTAACTTGGGTCTCTGCTTAGGTTCTCACAAGCTGCAGTTAAGGTGTTATCCAGGGCTGTACACTCTTTTTTTTTTTAAGCTTTATTTATTTATTTATTTATTTATTTATTTATTTATTTATTTATTTATTTATTTATTTATTTATTTATACAAGCACTGGATACAGTCAGAAGCGCAGGAGGGTGAGAGAATTCACCAGAGCAGGGCTGTACACTCTTATAAAGTACCCAGTCAAGCAAGGATCTGCTTCCCTGCTAATGTGGTATTGGCAGCATTTAGTCTCATGCAATGCAGGATTCTTGATAGCTTGTTTTTTTTAACGCTGGTAAGGGTAAGGGAGATTGAAGAGGGAAACAAAGACAAATAGGGATTTAAGAGATTATGAGAATGTCTGTAAGACACTAAAGCAGGATTTCTCAACCTTGGCACTAATTAACATTTGGGGCTGATTAAGTATTTTGCAGTTATGCATTGTGGGATGATTAGCAGCATTTCTGACTTCTGTCCACTGGATATCAATACATTGCCCCCATTTGTAGCAACAAAAATGCTAAATGTCCCCCAAAGAGGCAAAGTTTTCCCTAATTAAGAACCACTGCTTCACAGACTCTGGTGAGACTGCAAGAGATAAAGATGTTCTACACCACTTGCAAGAGTGATTGCTCATGTGTCCTCTGAATAAGATCATTTCTTTACAAAACTTGATGCTTCTTTCAGCAAGAGTTGGAGTCCTGGAATTTTACTTGCTTCTTTCAAGGTCTGCCTCCCAGTTTTTGCTTTCAGTGTTTGTGTGAACCATGTTCATATGGACCACTATTGTTTTTGAGCCATCAGGAGTAATTTCCTCTTGATCCTGTCCTATCCACAAGAAGTTTAGTACTCACAAAGCGTGCCTCATTTTGGGATTCTGTTCTATAGTTCTCTATATCAGCTTTTCTGTCTTTATTTCACCCCTGTCCATCCATGACACCCTTTTACTTTTCCCTCTGGCACTCAAGGTTAGTTATCAGCAAAACCTCCTTTTTTCTTTGTCATCTTCCTCCAACAGAAACTTATGACTTGGCTGTGTTACAGACCTCTTAAGGGGTGGTTGTTTTCCTTCTCATATTCCTCCTACTGTGGATGGAATTTAGAGTTGAGATCCTTCTTGTTCCTTATTGTCAATCAGATCATCCTTCCTTCCTCCTCCCTAAAAACTGCCAGCTTTCACTCTCATGTATCCCAAGGGTCCATAAGGCTACTCAGGAATCATTCTGTATTTTCCTTATCCATTTGTTTTTTCATGCTCTGAGAAATTTTTCTGTAACTTCTCCTTCTTTATCAGACTTCAACCTTCAGCAGCCCCCCACCTCGTCTAGCAGGACTGCCACATGTTCTGAAAAATCTGTTTCCTATATAACTAAATTATGTTTCTCAAACTCCCATCTAAAAGAAGTGACTGAGTTATGTCCAGTGGATTGTGAGTAGAAGTGATAAGCCACCTCAGACCTCTCTTCCTGCCCCATTCTAGATAGGTGCAGAGGATGTGGGAGAGGAACGATAAAGCCACCGAGTAGAAGGAACCTGGGTCTCTGAATGAGTGTGAAAGGTTGTCCTTCTACTAAAATCAGAACCACTTTGGACTTTGTGTGAACAAATACAAAATAATCATTTCCAGCCTTTGAGATTGGTGGTGATGGAGGCAGTGGTGGCATGTTTTAGAAGTTGACATTATTTACCTTAATACCAGTTTTTTCCCCTGCTATCTTTTTTGATTTATAGAATTTCTTTTAGTATGAGCCCCTGGGTTGGCCTCTGTGCTGAAAATAGCTTTTCCTCCTTTTTTGCTTGACTTTTGCACTCAGTATTGTGGAGGTGATGTCCATATACCTCTGATATTCTTTTTCTGGTAGGAGGAAGGCTTCTTACTTGCAAGCAGCGGAAACACTGCCCGAGGACCATCTCTCACCTCAGGAGAGACTAGAGGGTAATTAGGAATTGTTGCCTTGTTAATAGGCCTTAACTAACATTGAATAGTAGTTAGGAAATAAATACTTCATTTTCCTGACCTTGGAGTTACCTCTGGAGATAGTTTATACCACCCCCTAGAGGTCTGCCACAGGATTTAGTCACAGTGGTAACTGGACCACTGGCGCATCCTGGATTGCTGCCTTCTTCCCTTATTACTTCCTCATTTCCTTGGTTGTGCTTCCTGAATTACTCTTCAAGTAAACTATTTTACCACACATTCAAAGTTGGCTTTTGGAGAACATATACTGGGTCAATGGTGGCTTTTGATGAATAAAAGTTCTTATTTTAAACATAGTAAACTCAGTGTTTGTTGCATCCTACTTAAGAAGTCTTTACCCCAAGGACCTTCCTGGTGGCCTAGTGGCCTAGGAGGTGACTTACCGTCCCTGGTTAAGTTACAGCACTATCACCCCTATGGCCTGAGTTCCACCCCCAGCCAGGGAGCTAACCCTCATATGGCACAGCAGACCTCTCACCTCTCCTGTCTTGCCCTCTGTTCCCTTTAGCAGTGTATTGCAGTAAATCTGTCTGTTCTTCTCCCTACTCTGTCTCTAATGAATCCTCTCACCCCCTGCATTTCTGCCCTACATCCCCCTGCTCTTAAATGTAAAACTAAAATAAATAAGTCTTTAAAAAAGAAAAGTCTTTACCTCAATGTCTTGATATACTGATGCCATTAAAAGAGTTATTATTATTTATAGTTACTGAGAGGAAGGAGCAATTCATGTGGGGAAAACAATGCAGAAGTCTTTCTTACTACAGTACAAGGGAGTTGCTGGTGGAAATGCCCTCTACTCAGTAGACAATCAAAACACAAATGTTGGAGTTTGGATTGGAAGTATTGTAATATGATTTTTCTGTGCCTGCAAAAGCCAGATCATGGGGAAGATGTAAACAACTTTGGCTATTGATTTGGTCTTGTGATTAGTGGATAACAGATAATCAATTTAAAATTTTTGTAAGTTGGTTAGAATATCCCCAAGAATATGAAAATATTCTTTGTTATATTCTAGATGCTTTATATATTTTATTTTTTATATTTACTTTTTTAACTTTTTTATATTTAGATCTATTTTTTATATTTTTTACTTTTTTATATTTTACTTTTTATATTTAGAGCTACAGTTCATTGGAATTTATTTTTATATGTGATATGTAGAAGGGACTATATTTCACTTTTCCTCATAATGTTATGTTACTGTTTATGGAAAATATTATTCTTTCCCTACTACTTTGAAGTCACACATTGTCATAAATCAAGTGCCTGGATTTGATTGGACCTTTTTCTAGACTCTCTATTCTGTTCGTTGATCTCTCTGTCCATAGCAGAGTTTCTTAATTATTTTAGTTATTCTAACTTCATTTAAACTTGATACTTGATAGAGTTATTCCTTCCTTCTTGGTCTTCAGGAGTAGTTTGGAAATTCTGGGGTGATGTTCTTTAGTAACAGTGATGATACTTGTCTTCTGGTTGGTAAATTAGTTTTTAATATTCCAGTTTGTTTCAGTGACCCATTAAGTGAGAGCATGAGGTAATTTGTTTTGGGGCTAACAATATTAATTTTTGTATCTCTTCTAAATTGACCTATTTGATCACAGAATAGTCCAGATATTGTGCGATGAGGATATATCAGGAGGCTTCAAAAAAATAAAAAACTTCATTTCAAGTGCTTTATAATTGTAATATCTTAACTCTTCATGTCTATTTTGGTAAATAAGTCCATATACATGAGAATATTCTTCATTTCCTTAGATTTGGTACCAGTGCTTTGCTTCAGAGGTGGTACAATTTAATTGATACAAATATATTTTATAAAATTTACAATGTTGATTTTTATTGGAAGTACTATAGTTAATTTGGACCATTAAAATTATAAAAATTGCACAAACAGCATCCAATGAGGGCTATTTGTGTTCTTTAACTGGGAGGTTTTGATTTAGCTCTTCAAATACTTATCTGCAGTTGCTCTTTGTGTCTTTTACAATTAATCTTAGTCTCTTGGTGTTGCTCAGGATTGACCTTTATCTCTTATCACTATTGTAGATTTAACTGGCCTGAAGCACTAAAAAAGGAATGAAACTTAGTTACAATAAAATAAAATAAACTCTCCCTATTATCAACTTTGAGGAGACTAGTGCCCTAAGCTTGTAATAATGGGTTAGTAATTTCTAACTATTATGTAGACTGGCATCCTGAGTAGATTGACATTAAAATATGTGGAATATGATCAGTTTAGGATGCTCGAGAAGAAAACAAACCAAAGAATGTTTGAGAGAAAAACCAATTCTTATATTAAATACTTAAAGTGTCCAAATTTGGATTTTTATCTTAATAGGTTAATGCAGCTGAATCAAAGATAACAAATTTAATATACCTAAAACATACATTGGAACTTGTGGATCCTTTAAAGGTAATTTAAATGTGTCTATATTGTGCAAAAACATGTCTAGCATCAGTTTTTTTAACTTTGTTTTGAAAAAATTACAAACGTGAAAGAAGTTGCAAGGGTAATATAATGAATTCCTATATTCTATCCCTTTACCCACACAGCATACACACATAGTATTATCCTTATTATTACTGTTAGTGATCCATTTGAGAATAAGTCATGCCTACTGCTAAAATATGTATCTCCTAAAAATAAGGATGTTCTCTTATATAGCTGCAATATGATTATTCAGTTTAGGACATCTTATATAATACTATTGTGTAATGTATTTCCCATTAGTCAATTGTCAGAAATTTCTAATTGTCCTAATAATGTTGTTTATGGAATTCTTTTTTTCTGGTACAGAGTCCAGTCTAGGACTGGACAAGTTGTAGGACCATGAATTGTATGTATTATCACATTTCTCTGTACTCCTTTAAACGGATAAGTTTCTCAGTTTTTCTTTGACTTTCAGAATATTGAAATTTTGAAGAGTAAGGGTCAGTTGTTTTATAGACTGTTTCTCTCCTTGTGTGATTGTTTCCTCATGATTAAATACAACTTGTGCACATTTGATAGTAATTCTCTATTACAATGTCATATTTTTCTCACACCAATATATCAGGAGCCACATGATATGATTTTTTTTTTTTTTTGTGGGACCGTAGCCGGTGGCCGGGGATTGAACTGGCGCTGCAGAGGCTGCGGGGAGCCTCGCAACCTAGCGCTCAACCACTGTGCCACCAGGGTAGGCCCTGATTTCTTCATTTTTGACTAATAACTTTGATCAGTTTTTGTCATGGTAAGTTATAAGTAATCTGTGGCGAGATACTTAGAGACTGTGTAAATATCTTTTGGTCATCAAACTTTCATCCACTGATTTTGGTATTTATTGATGACTGTTATCTGAAGTAATTGTTACTCTGATACTTACAAAATTATTTTTTCATTAATATTTTTAAATAATACACTGTCTAAAACAGTGTTTTAAATTAAAGTGACAGAACAGCTCTTTTAAAAGAAAAAAATAATGAAAAATGTGGAAGAATTTTGTGATATAGTTCATTCTAACATATATAATGAAAACAATTTGGTAAAAGATTTTAAAAGTGTCATCATCTTTCTTAGAATGAAAGAAGTATGAAAAGTAACTCCCCAAAACTGTTTTTTTTAAAAAAGATTTATTTATTTATGCATACAAGAGCTGGGGTAGAGGCCAGAGATGCAGGGGGGGAGAGGTGAGAGGATTCACCAGAGACAGAGTGGGGAACAGAACAGGCAGAGTGACTGAAATACACTGCTGAGGGGAGCAGTGGGCGAGACAGGAGAGGTCTGCCTCGCCATGTGAGCTGCTCCCTGGTCGGGGATTGAACTCATGCTACAGAGGCTGCAGATTGCTTTTTAGTGCAGTGCTTAATTCCTTGCACCACCAGGGATGCCCCCAAACTGGGGGGTTTTGCTGTGAAATATCAAAGGCAAAGCAAAAGACAAAATTAGGAAAAATTTATAATAAAGGAAGACAAAATGTTAATATTTGTCATCATAAAACTCATGCAATTTCATTAGAAAATTTGCTAATGAAAATACGGAAAATGACCAAAAATCTGAAATCACAGTGGTTAATGAGTAGAATCAAAAAGTTCAATCTGACGATTAGAGACATGCAAATTAAAACCATGGTTCTTATCTATCAAAGAAGAAAAGCTTTTTTCTTAATAGATGCAACTTACTGTTAATGAGAGAAAAGTAAAACAAGCAACTTCACAAGCAGCTGGTCGGATTACAAATTTAATGTACTTTAAAAGAATCTTTAACAGGGGGCCTCCCCGGTGGCGCGGTGGTTGAGCGCTGGGTTGCGAAGCTGCCCACAGCCTCTGCAGCGCCGCTTCGATCCCCAGCTGCTCCCTGGCCACCAGAGGAGGGTCCCACATGGCACGCAGACCTCTCCTGCCGCAGACCTCTCCTGCTGACAACTGCTCCCCTCAGCAGTGTGCTTCGGTCCCTCTGCCTGCTCTGCTCCCCGCTCTGGCCCTGGCGAATTCTCTCACCCTCCTGCGCTTCTGACTGTACCCAGTGCTTGTATAAATAAATAAATCTTTAAAAAAAAATCTTTAACAGCATGCATCTTTTGGTTCCATAATACTGTCTAAAAGAATTATTAAGAATTGATGATTATGATTTATACCCAGTGGTGGTCATTGCAGCATTATTTATATTTGTGAGAAATTACAACTAACATAAAACTCCAATAATCAGGAGAAGAGACTATTTGTTTTCCACAGGATAGAATATTATGAATTATTAAAAAGTTTTTACTATTATGAAGTTTCTGATGCTTATGATGTAATGTTAAGTGGAGAAGAAAAGAAACATGCAATGATAGAAAATTTTTGGTTTGAAGAAGCAACAGGGAATAGGCCATAATATTTAGACTATTTATCCTGAAAGGGTAATAGAGTTAGGAGGGATTTAAATGTCTTTTTTTAAATGCTTTTGTGAATTTTCCTTTTTAATCAGCATGTAAATACTATTTTTTTATTCCTAATAAAGAAATTTATCATTACCATTGCTTCTTAGCAAACTAAAATAGGAAGTAGAAGTCAGGTTAACTGTGTTTTCTGTTTATTCAAATAGTTACCACTCATTTTCCATTATACAAAATAGAATCCCAATTTCTGCCATGTAAGTATGGAAAAATTGCCCTATTTGTAAATGTACAAAGCACTTCTTTAATTTGTATTTATCACAAAGATGGAATTAAATATACCCTAACTGTACAATAGCTGCTTGAGTACCTACCTCCAAAGTAGTTAGATGTTAACAATTAGTTGGCAGTTAAGAAAAATAAAAGTCTTAATAGTATAATAATGGATGCTACTTGTTAACTGTCAGCTCTGTATCTGGACAAAGGGAAAGATACATCTGTCATTACCTACATGCCTAAAATATTTGATATGAATATATAAATGAGAAGATGAAGCAGTAAAGTACTTGGTGAATTGTAAAAGTATTAAACGAATGTATAATGTTATGTTTTAAAAATGTCATCCTTTATTATCCTTAATTGTCTTTATTCTACAATAGGATGCGCTGAAGAACTGCAATACACCTTTATTAAGAGCATACTATAGTTCCTTGGAAGACCAGAGGTATTTGTCTTTCATTTGTTAATAAAATATCAGATTATTTTCTTTCTTCCTGATCATAATTGATTTTAATGTACTCTAATTGTGTTCTGTGGAACAAGTACTCAGTTAAGAGAACTTTTAAACTATTCAAGTTCTAATTATGCTTCTCATCTTATAATACCAATAAGTAGTATAACTTACTGAGTATCTGTGTTAATGGACTATTAGAATTAAATTAAAAATTGAAATAATACATACTTTTAGTATTTCTTTTTTAGTCATTCCCTGTGGAAAGACAGATATAAAAACATATCCTTCTCTTTTGTTAGATCATTAAGAGCCTAATGTAACAAAAAATAGTAGCTGTGAATACAGAATAATATCTAAATTCACTTTAATTTTAATATTATTTTTAGCAGTGGCAAATTGATTCTTGACCAAAAAACTTCTTAAGACCTATTATTTTATTGATTTAAGGTTCATATCTTATATGAGGTCACACATTGAGGTTAATAATAATCAAATGCATAAAAAATAAAGTATAGGGCCTCCCCAGTGGCGCAGCGGTTGAGCGCTGGGTTGGGAAGCTGTCCACAGCCTCTGCAGCGCCAGTTCGATCCCTGCCCACCGGGTGAGGGTCCCACATGGTGCGCAGACCTCTCTTGCCACCTGCTGCTCCCCTCAGCAGTGTATTTCATCAGTCTGCCTGCTCTGCTCTCCGCTCTGACTCTGGTGAATTCTCTCACCCTCCCGCTCTTCTGACTGTACCCAGTGCTTGTATAAATAAATAAAATAAATCTTAAAAAAATAAAATAAAAAATAAAATGAAAAAAAAAGTATAGAACAGAATAAAACAAGTTAGGATAATAGGTGTTTCCAGAATCAAGGTTTTTATGGTCACTGTAATTAATTACTAATAATGGTGAGGTTTAGTCCTACTGTCTCACAAGTTATGTTTAGTTTCCCTTGCCACAGCCAAAGGCTAGTACAATTTGTTAATCCTTTGAATTCCTGCACCCAACACAGTGATTAATACATAGTATGAGTAAAAAGACAGAATTTTGGTATAATTTCTTCAAGGATATATTTTATCCTCATGGGAATATGTTCAATTTGGGAGATCTGTTTATTAGCATGTATAGTTCTTGGTGATCTCTAGTTGTTTTATATTTTCTTGACTGACAAAAATAGTTAAAAATTGGCATAGTCAGAGTTTTACCTTATCTAAGTTTAATTATATACATTGCTTAATTATATATTTTCACAATAACTTTCACTAGTGATTTCAAGAAAATGTTATTTGCTGTCTAACTATAGCATAGGTTACTTATTGTCTATAATATTCTTTTTAAGGTTTGGAATCATACTTGAAAAGATTAAAACAGTAGTTAATGATGATGCAAGGTACATGAAAGGATGCTTGAACATGAGGACTCAGAAGTGCTATGCAGTAAAGTCTAACATAAATGAATTTCTTGATATATCTAGAAGAACATATACAGAGATTGTAGATGACATAGCAGGTAATTTAATTATTTGTGCATACTTTTCTGTTTTTTTAGGAATAAAACAAACATTGTGATGGCAAACTTTGATTTTTTTTTTTTGCTGATGCTAGCTAACCATACATATTTTAATTTTTTTTTGCCAAAACAGATAAAGTTAATGCATTATCTTTTTAAAAATAAATATCTCAAAGTATTAGATCTATTTTTCCTTCTACACTTAAATAAATTAAGTGAAAAGAAAATTAATATAAATTAAATGAAACTTAAATAAATTAAATGAAAAATGCAGGCTACCAATATTAAAAGATTTCACTAGAGGGAGAATCATTTTTGTTAGGAAGAGGCATTTGAGCCAGTACAGTAATTCATTTAACAAATATGTATTGAGCTCCAACTAAATGTAGAGACTGTTCTGGGTACTGGAAATATAGTGAGCAAGGCAAAGTCTCTGTCCTCATGGAACTTACATTATGGTAGACAAGACAGACTATAAAGAAATGCATATGCACACATGTGTATGTCTATACATAAATATCAATATTGACATATCAGTCACATGTAACTTCACGAGGATATAAGATTTATGAAGAAAAATGTATCAGGTTAGAAGGGTCAGAGAATGAGTTGGTGTGGAGGTATAGAAGGTGGAAATATTTTTTGTGCACAGAACAGCCTAGGAGTTTACATATTGATAGTGGTACATATAAATTGAAGCACAAAGGGGCAAGGAAACCTCAAAGGAGTAAGTCAGAAAATTTGTTAGCATGGAATAGGACATTCCCTCACAGAGTCAGTAGAGGTAAGATCATAAATATAGACTGGGGACCAGAATTTAGTCTTTGAAGACCAGGAGTTTGTATTGTTTATCAAGGAGAATGAAGAAGTACTGAGTTGTTTTTGCTCTGTGGAGTAAAAATTGGTAAGGTCAAGATATGTTAAATGAATTTGAATGGAGCAATAGAGAGTTAAAAATTAAAGTTAACTTTAACAAAGCGTTATTTAGTGATAGAAATGTGTATGAGAAGAGAGAAATATTAAGGTTGGAGGAAAAATTGCTAGGAGCTAATAATTGAGTAAATATGGTAATGGGAAATACAGTCACTGGTGCTAATTGAGATCTGTAGCCTGAGAATGGTAGTGCCAACTGAGAAAGGCAGGAAAAGTTTTGGAGAAGTGAAGTTGTAGTTTTTTTCAAGTAATGTTCAAGTTTTAATGGACATCTATTAAAGATATAAATCTGCAGCTATTTGTAGTGAGTTTGAGTTGATAGGAAATTTTTTAAAGAATTTTATTTGATGAATCATCTGTTTCCTTTTTGGAACATTTTGTTTTATATATTATATGTAAAGGGAATTTCTTATTGTGAATTAGTGATTGCAGTAATTTATGTGATTATTCTCTTCCTTTCCAAAAAAAAGTGGAATGAGTGACAAAAACCAATATTACTAATACAGAGAATAAAAAGGTCTTTTTATTTTTAAGTTTTACAATTTATTTTGCTTTCAAATTTCCTACCTGAATGACTGCCTTTGTACTACAATGTTTTTTTCTTAAAACAACTACATATTTTAGACATTAAAAATCTTTAGAGTTTAAAAGAGGGATCTGAGGCATCCAGGAGGGAAGGGGGATGGGAGCAAGTAAGGGTGAGGAGTTGGGCACAAAATGAACTATGGTGGTGGATTATGGTGCTTTGGTGATGGGAGAGCTATGGTGAGCACATCTAAGGGAGAAATCCTATATTGTGAAAAAATTGACAAGGATGTAAAATAATGGTACTTGATTAAAATGTATATATGTATTTAAAACAATGAACAGAAATGATTAAAAAAAAGAATACTTGTGTCTGAGTGGTAGGAAAATGGCCTTTTTTTTTTTTTTTTTTTTGTATCAGATAACATTTATCTGTTCTGTGTGTCAGGCATTGTGTTAAGTGTTTCACATGTATTCACTAATCACATTACAACTTGTGTTTTTCTAACTTTTCAAAAATTCTATAATATATGTTACTTTTAAACAAAATAAGAGTAGTAACACTTTCCTATGATATGTATGTATTATATAATTATATATATAAAATAACAAGAAAAAAATCATTGGATTTTTTTTTTAACAGATGAAGAGTTATTTTCTCATTAAAATGTCTTGCTTTTGTTTTTCTTATTTCTGGTCACTAGGAATGATATCGCAACTTGCAGAAAAATACAGTCTTCCTTTAAGGACAAGTTTTAGCTCTGCTAGAGGATTTTTCATCCAGATGACTACAGATTGTGCAGCCCTACCCAGTGATAAACTTCCTTCAGAGTTTATTAAGGTCCATTCTGGAATTTTGTTTAGAAAATTATTGTTTCTGATTTTACAGAGTTGCATTTATATGTTGTCAGGAACTCCTAGAGTTTCATATTCCGAATTTCTGAATAATTTTGTATATTGCTTCTCCTACCCCTGCTATCTAATAGCTAATCTAATTAAAAGTGTTTTAGAAACTTTTTTTTTTGAGAAATATCAAGGACAGTGCTTCACACAATTCTGGAACCTTAATATAAAGATAAAAGGTATATTTGATCAAAGAAATTTGGAAAGTACTGAACCATATCCACATCTTTCTATTAAAGATTGAAAAGTCCTGTAGTAAAGAAATCTATTTACCTTAAAATCCAATATCGACCTTTGTACTATGAAAATATCTTTTCCTACATGCATATTAACTCCCCACAACATCCCAGGTTGGATAATTTGAACCCACTTTAATCTTTGCCTTCTCAGCTCCCAGGGGGTACCTTTTGACAAATCATTTCACTTTCAGGGCTTTTAAATAGATACTGCATTACCAAGAAGAGTGATGGATGAAATACAGAATGGGTTGAGACTTAGTAATGGGGATTGAGTAAGGTTCAGATAAGGGGCAAGGGTGGTAAGGTGAGATAAGGGTGATGGGTCAGAGATAAGACTGAGGACTACTGATATCTGTTATGCATATTGGTTATAAGAGGTAGTACTTTAGCATTTCTACATGACCACTTTAAAACCTGTAAAAATAATCATGTCTGATCGATGAGGTTGGGAAAGTCCTGCTTTATCTTTACAAGTGATCTTCTTTTCGCTTTTATTAACATTATTTGGGATTTTCTTTGTGATACTGTGTCTCAAAAATTGAGTGGTTAACCTGAATACCTATATTTCTGTTTAAAATCTTTGTTTTATTTCATAAGCATGTACACATACCTTGACATTTGTTTTTTCAAATTTCCTAGCAGATTTCTAAAGTGAAAAATTCTTACAGCTTTACATCAGCAGATTTAATTAAAATGAATGAACGATGCCAAGAGTCTTTGAGAGAAATATATCACATGACTTACATGTAAGAGCACTTGAAATTTTTGAATATTGAATTAAATTGTTTTAATTTGAGGCACTATGAAACATTTCATAACTGATTTGTTGTCTGATACAAAAAATTGTAAGATTATGATTATAGCAAAGAAAGAACATTTCTTGGAATAATAGTTAACCTTAAAAGTCCTGTCGTTGTGATTGGGATCACAAGGCTTCACAGAAAATTGAGGGAAAATCTAATTGTTAAAAGAACTCATTGTAACTAATACTTCTGTAGTATACATTCCCATGATGTAGAACTTGGCACATCATGGGCTTATTTTGGGCTTCTTTTATTTATTCTTCTTCTATAATGTAAACCTTTAGCCCTCATGCCTATATATTTCTATAGAGTGTTACAATAGTGCCAGTCTCTTGCTGTTCATGAAATAGCACCAATATAACTAGAAATAAGAAATGAAACATTCTGAATTGGTGAGTTGAGGTGGTGAAGAAAAAGGTTGGGCTCTCAAAACAATTTCAGGTTATAGACCAAAGAGATTATAATATATAGTAAATTTGGGGAACATATGTTTTCCTTGTAAGGGAAAAACATATCACAATATGATAACTGCCACAGAAAGACTTAAATTATGTCATTACGAGAGGGAGAGTGAAAGGGAGAGGAAGAGAGAGAGGGAGGAGAGAAAAGGTGAGGGGAAAGGAAGAGAGGAAGTTGTTGGGAGAGATATTAGAAATGTGAAACAGAGATAATAGAAATATTATTGTGTTGAATTTAACACTTGTAAAACCACAAAGTTATTAGCAAATGGTATCTGTTGAAATATAGTGAGGGCTTTAGATGATTTCTATGAAATATTTTTATTAAAATCCATGTTATTAGTACCTAATAAAAGCAATAGTTTCAAAAAAGTGGTATTAATACACTGGAAGATGGATTCTTTGCTACTAAGTAGCTGTGACCTTGAGTATGAACTTCCATTTCTTCATCTCTAAAATGAAATAGTTGCATAAAGAACTTTATCTGTAGTGTACAACTCAACTGTGAATGCTGTTTTACCTCAGGCAATAAATTTAAAGTGTTTTACAATTACATTATATATCCTTCTTTAAAAAACATCCCTTGTCTAAACAAACATGTACTTTCAGGATAGTGTGCAAACTACTTAGTGAGATTTATGAACATATTCATTGTTTATACAAACTCTCTGACACTGTGTCAATGCTGGATATGCTGCTGTCATTTGCTCATGCCTGCACTCTTTCTGACTATGGTGAGTTACTTTTTTTGGAATAAATATGTAGCATAGTGAAATTTGTATTCAGTTCAAGCAATTTTATACAACAGTCATGAATGTTTTACATTTTATTTACCTGAAATACAGTCTCTTGGCTGGTTTCTAAACTTAGACTCAAAATTGAGATAGTGAAGTGAGCCTTAACATTTCTTTTAAAAGTTAGAAAGTTACTTAAAAAGAAATTGACAATTCAGAAAGAAAAATCTGCAAGAAACTTTAAAAGTTCTCAAAATAAGAGCACAGAAATACCTCCTTGGTGAAAATGATAGTCCAAATTTATAAAGCTGAAATCTGAAAACTCGTTGGAAGTAGTATGACTAATACTTATTAGAGAAATGAATACCCAAAGTGAGTGTTTTCTAAATTAGTCCTTAGATATGAGTATCACAAGTTCAGGAAATTGTTTTTGTTTCCCAAACCTATAGACAGAATTTTTGAATATAAATTTTAAGTAGTTTTTAAATATGTAATGAATACTTCAAGTTATTCCCTTGAAATTTCTTTTTTTTTTTTTTTTTTTTGATAGAGGCATGCTTTATTTATTTGTTTGCTGGTTTGTTTGTTTGTTTTGTTTATACATGCACTGGGTACAGTCAGAAGCGCGGGAGGGTGAGAGAATTCACCAGAGCCAGAGCAGGGAGCAGAGCAGACAGAAGGACCGAAGTACACTGCTGAGGGGAGCAGCGGGCGGCAGGAGAGGTCTGCGCGCCATGTGGGACCCTCCTCCAGTGGCCGGGGAGCAGCCGGGGATCGAACCGGCACCGCAGAGGCCGCGGGCAGCTTCGCAACCCAGCGCTCAACCGCTGCGCCACCGGGGAGGCCCCCTTGAAATTTCTTAATACAACTATCAGTAATAAACATACTCAAGTATTCAAATGTAAAGAACTAATATATGATAATTAAGGTTGAATAATTATAGACTTAATATCATGAATAATATCGAAATTTCTAATTAAAATTATCAGTAACATTTCCAAAATTATGTTCACTTATTTTAGTAGGGTGGAATAAGTATACAAAGTATTTTCATATTTCATTTAAAAAACCTTTTTTTTTCTTTATTATAGTTCGTCTTTTTCCTGATTCTTTATTTAGGTTTTTGGTTAGGGTCAAAATAAGGGGGGTGCAATTGTATGGGGAATATAACCAAAATGAAAATGCATACATTGTGCAAAAATGAAAAATGATGTAAGAATTATATAAGGGCCTCCCCGGTGGCGCAGCGGTTGAGCGCTGGGTTGCGAAGCTGCGCGCGGCCTCTGCGGCGCCGGTTCGATCCCCGGCTGCTCCCCGGCCACCGGAGGAGGGTCCCACATGGCGCGCAGACCTCTCCTGCCGCCCGCTGCTCCCCTCAGCAGTGTACTTCGGTCCTTCTGCCTGCTCTGCTCCCCGCTCTGGCTCTGGTGAATTCTCTCGCCCTCCCGCGCTTCTGACTGTACCCAGTGCATGTATAAACAAAACAAACAAAGAAACCAGCAAACAAATAAATAAAAAGCATGCCTCTATAAAAAAAAAAAAAAAAGAATTATATAAAATAAAATATTTTAAAAAAAGATCTTAAATTTAAAAAAACAAAACAACAAAAAAGCTTTTTTCCCCTTAATCAGTCTCACTTTTCAAGTGAATGCTTTCAGGTTTATCCATTTGTTTCATCTATTTTATTTTTTATTATTTATTTGTATTTATGCATAGAGGAACTGGGGTGTAGGCTGGAGGTGTGGAAAGTGGGTGAGAGGATTCACCAGAGACAGAGTGGGGAGCGGAACAGGTGGATCCAATGAAATACACTGCTTGAGGGAAGCAGTGGGCAAGACAGGAAAGGTCTGCTGTGCCATGTGAGTCAGCTCCCCCTCCAGGGATCAAACTCATGCCACAGTGGCTGGCTATAGCTTGATAGTGCTGAAACTTTAACCCCTGCGCCACCAGGGACGCCCTCCTTGTGTTTCATCTAGAGGAATAAGCATCGTAGCTTTTATTTGTCCTCACACCCTTTTCTTCCTCCTTTCACCCCAAAATGTACCCACAGAGACCCTATCATTATTTGTTTCTATAAATTAGCAATATCTTTTGTGTTGTCTGCTCTTTTCTATCCTCTGAGATTTTCTTTTAGACAAAATTTTCTAAGGGTTTGGCTAGAAAATTACTTTTATATTTGGTTTCATTTTATTCATACTTCATTTGAAAAGCTATGTATGCCAAATTTGCAATATTGCTGAAGATAAGCACTAAGAAAACATGTAATTCTATAGTTTGGGCAATTAATAGTTATTTTAAAAGTATTATCAATGCTAATTAATTGTTTTTAATCTACATAAATGTAAAAATGCTATAAACTGTTTTGCAGTCCCTGACAATGAGTGGGAGTTAAATCTTAGGATTTCCTGAAAGTGAATAAAAGTTGAGATGGTGATTGGAGTACATCAGTTATAACTTAGAAGGATTAGGTAGGGGTTTGGTATAAAATGTATATTTACCACAGACTCTTTAAATGCATTAATCCTTCAAAACCATTTTTTCCTTAGTTCGGCCAGAATTTACCGATACTTTAGCAATCAAGCAGGGATGGCATCCCATTCTTGAAAAAATATCTGTGGAAAAACCTGTTCCCAACAATACCTATATTACGGAAGGGAGTAACTTTTTGATCATAACTGGGCCAAATATGAGTGGGAAATCCACATATTTAAAACAAATTGCTCTTTGTCAGATCATGGCCCAGATTGGTAAGTATGGCTTTACTTTGTAGTTACCAGTTATGTTCCCCATTCAAAAGGTTTTGTGCTGATTTTTCAGTTTTAGCTGTCTAACTCAAGTGGAGTTTGAAGTAGAGTTTCTTGTTAAATGTGTAATAGTGTCTGTTATGTAGACCATGACTTTTAGTAATGATATTTATTAAATGTCATTGGATTCAGTTGCACTAAAAATTTGTAGGATATAACAGAAGTAGAAATTTCCTATTGTAACTATGAATGCAATATTAGCTACTACTAAATTAATAATCATATAATAATTAGGAATCAAAAACTGTTGTGAGAAAGGTGTGAAATATGCCTTTAATGATGCAAGTGAGATTTTTCCCAAAAAAAAATTTTTTTTTTTTGTGGGACCCTCACTGGTGGCTGGGGATTGAACTGGCGCTGCAGAGGCTGCAGGCAGCGTCACAACCCAGTGTTCAACTGCTGTGCCACCAGGAGAGGCCCAGATTTTTCCAAAATTTTAACATTGGACAGATATATTTTCCTTGCTTAATTTTGGAACTACTAGTAACTTGGCCACAGAAATTGATATGACATACACACATCTGTATGCACGCACCTGTACGCACACACACACAAAATAGGCTATCACTGGCCTAACATTGTTATATATTTCCTGTTGTAGAGGCACAATTTGCCTCTTATCTCTGGAAACTTGGTTTCCTTGAAGACCATATGAATTTGTCGAGATGATTGGCCCTAATGTAGTTCTCAACCAATGGTACTCTTTGGATGATGGTACCCTTTGTCCCTCAGAATTTGGCAATGTCTTTTTGTGTGTCACCACTGAGGGAGAGTGTAGATTGACTTTATTAATGCTGCTAAGCACCCTACAGTGCACAGGATAGTACCCCTCTTACACTGTAAGAAAGGTTTATCTAGAACCACCATCTTCCAGTAAGTTGCCAAAAATGACCAACATGAAGGGAAGGAGAGGCACCCCCTGTGTGTTCTCTAGGCCTTTTAGAAAACATGCAGATGTTCCTTTGGTCACATACATGCAGATCTACAGGAAAGGTGGTATTGTAGCCATTAAGGGAATGGGCAATGTTCAAGAATGAATGCCTGACAAATGTTACCATGGCAAAACTGGAATAGACTGTAATGTTACCCAGCATGCAGTTGGCATTGTTGTAAACAAACAAAGGGTAAGATACTTGCCAAGAGCATATCAAGTGCTTTAAGAGCTGAGATAGCTTCCTGAAATGTGAAAAAAGAAAATGATCAGGAAAAAAGGAAGCCAAAGAGAAAGGTACTTGGATTCCACTGAAGCACCAGCCTGCTCCCTTAGAGAAGCACACTTTGTGAGAACCAATGGAAAGGCGCTTGAGCTGCTGGAACCCATTCCCTGTGAATTCAGGGCATGAGAGGTGTGAGAAATAAAAAAGACCTCCAGACTATTAAAGAAAAATTAGATTTATCCAATCCAAGTTGTTAGTAATGTCATAGTTGAGAAATCCTGGTCTAACATAATGGATTGTAAGGGAAATATAGTAATAATAATTTTGGCCAAATAGCACAAATTTACTCTTACTAGTGGGAAAGAAAATCAGAGGTGAATGAAAGCATGAAGAGTAAATATTTAATTGAATTATTTATTTTATGGAATTAAAAGGACATCCTAAACAACTTTCTTCTCTGTAAGAATACTGTCTGATTCACATGTGCCATAATAATCCCACTTCCATTTTAATGGTTTTGAGGAACTCTGTCTTTTAAAAAAACATACTAACTCTAATTGTTAGACCATTCTTTATACCAAATTGAAATCTGACTTTTATAACATCTACTCATTAGTTTTAGTTCTTCTGTGCATTCTAGAACGATCCATTCTCTCCTCAAATATTTGAAGATAATTATTCTACTTCTCTTGTCCCCAACTTAAACCTCTGAAATACCTAAAAGTATTTATAATATTTCAGAATCAGATAATAATAGAAAGAATAGGACTTAAAAGATCTGCTTCTAAGAATTGTAAATATTAAGTGAGATAATATATAATAAATATTACAAATTTAAGAGACGTGTATGAGAAAGATGGAGAGTTTCCAGGGAGAGGCAAGAACATTTTCTAAAGCACAGAAACAAAAAGCAGTATTATGTGCCCAGAGAACTACAAGTAGTCCAGATGTTTTATAGCTCCTTTGCTTTGTAGAATAGAGTGGCTATGAGAGGTTGTAGGATATAAAGCTGGAGAGATAGATAGGAGTAAGATCATGAAGGACCTTAAGTACTTAACTGAAGAGATTGAACTTTATCCAGAAATCTATAGGGAACTATTGAAATTTAAGCAAGAAAATGACATGATTGGATTTGACTTTTAGATGGATCACTCTGGATGATAAATTATTAGAGAGCCAGACCAGAAGCAAAATATCAGCCAGAAAACTTCTATAATGCTAGTCCATATTCTTCAGAATAGATCCTTTTCTTGATCTTTGCCTTTGTTTTATATTCTGGAATAATCTGACTTTGTTTCTTCACTCCTATTGTCTATACAGAGTTCTGTATACTTGATGTTTTCCCCAGTCAGCTGTATGTATACCTTATCTTCTTAAAATTTTAGATTTTATATCCCATTCCTAATAGAAGTAGGTCCACTAACCAGATTAATTTATTTTCAAAAGATGAATAGTTAGATTAGTTTTACTGTGATAAAATTCTCAGGCACAAGAAGTCTAATGGATGAAAATTCACCTTCTTAGAAAATTGTTTCCATTCTGATCCTGGGTATTTATGAACATTTCTAATAACTGTTTCCTAGCACATATTTATTTCTACAGTGATTTTTTTCTTAAGGATTTATTTTTTATTTATACAATAGCTGAGGTACAGGGCAGAGATGCAGGAGGGTGAGAGGATTCACCAGAGACAGAGTGGGGAGCAGAACAGGCAGACGGACCAAAAGCACTGCTGAGAGGAGCAATGGTTGCCACAGGAGAGGTCTGCCATGCCATGTGGGAATCTCCCTGGCTGGCTGGCAATCGAACCCACATTGCAGAGGCTGCGGACAGCTTCACAGCGCTGTGCTTAACCTGCTGCGCCACCAGGGAGGCCCTATTTCTACAGTGATTTTTATTAACTAGAGCTTCATAAGCATTTCCTTCAAATTTTCATATTTTAAATGTTCTTTATAATCTATAAAAATTTTTATCAATTTTACAATAGGTAATGTATTTGAATATATACTGTTTTATTTGAACTTACATATAGCTTGGCACAATAGGTAGGACAAATATTTCCCTTTTATTTATGAGAAAGATGAGACAGATAGAGTTTAAGTACTGTCCAAGGTTATAAAACAAGAGACAGAACTGGGGTCATGTCTTCTAACTCCAAATGCAGTGCTTTTCCCACCACATAATCCAAAATAAGCTAGTCAATAATTGGAGTTAATGAAAAGTGCAAAATGTTAATACTTACATTTTATAAAAGCATATCAATTTTCTTTGATTTTGTATTCTACAGGATCATATGTTCCAGCAGAATATGCTTCCTTTAGAATTGCTGAACAGATTTTTACAAGAATCAGTACTGATGATGATATTGAAACAAATTCATCAACATTTATGAAGGAAATGAAAGAGGTACACAACCTAAACTTTTTTAATGTTAAAAGCATATTAAATTCTCCTACTAATGGTCAATTGTTATCTAAGAATATTTTTTACACTAAAATCAACAGATGTGCTTATACTCCTCTACAAGAGCCAGAGGGCAGTCAAAGACAGCTTCCTAATTTCTGTCTTATATAGAAATGGCAGCAAATGTTTTATTGAAAAATACACTTTTAAAGAAAAAGCTAGTATTATTGGATAATAAAAATGTGCTTTCATGTTTTTGTATGGAATACATAAAAGACTTTTTAGAAAATGATGACCTGCTTAGAACCATTTTTCATAGTATCTATTCTACTAGTTAGACTCGATATTAAAATAAGAAATCAATGTGGTGGAAGACTTTTAAAAATCATCCCCCTTTCTCTTACAGAGTTTTCACTTCCTATAACAAAGTATGTAGTATCGCCTATTTCTGATCTGAGCAAACGTCCAGTAAACTTGAAGGGCTACAGGAATTCATTATAGCTCTCAGGCTATGTTTAGTAGGTAGGAATTATTGGATCACTGAACAGTTGGCTAATTTTCAGTAGACAGGGAAAACCAAAGTTATTTGTCCCATAGTATCTGACATTTATATAATTATTATTGAATATATTGAATATATATTGAATATCTATGGAAGCATGTATTAGATGCTTGAGATATATATATTTTTAAAAGATTTATGTATGTATACGATAACTGGGGTACAGGCCAGAGGTATGGGGGGTGAGAGGATTCAACAGAGACAGAGTGGGGAGCAGAACAGGCAGATCCACTGAAATACATTGATGAGAGGAGCAGCAGGCTAGTAAGGAGAGGTCTGCTACATCATGTGGGTCACCTCCCTGGTTGGGGATTGAACTCTCGCAGTGGCTGCGGATAGCTTCATAGTGCTGTGTCTTAACTCCTTGCGCCATCAGGGAGGCCCTGGGATATATTTTTAAATGGTCCTAGCCTTCAAGAATTTTAGTCCAATGGAAAGGTAAATTGACTGTGAAGGTCACTATTGATGTAGTAAGTATGTAATTCTCTCTTGAGGAAGAGGTTAGCAATACACAGTGGAGAAGGATCATTTCTTTTAGTTGAAGTCTTGGTCTTTGTTGGGCATGTATTTAAATTGGTTTAACCAGAAATCAGTGGACTGGAATACTTTTTCTTACATCTTTATTTCTATCTTTACTGAATATAGAGGTGTTAAAGTAAATTTGATAGTTTTGAGTATTTTATGACAATAATTGATTACTCATTTGTGGAAAAGTAAATGACTGTACTTTAAATATTTAATTCATTGCTCTGTTTTATTACTCTAAAATAGGAGTTTTTCAGATAATGATTATTTACTCTGATATCTCACACACATATGTATATGTCTTATTTATAGACATATCAACATTCTATTAGAATTTTTAGTCATGAGATATTTAGGAAGGAAAAATAATGTGTTAGTTTCTGCTCAGCAGGATTTCTCTATAAAAATGTATTTTAGATGAAGTAATAAAAAGACTAGGTTTTCCTCAATTTTTTTTCTATGGTAGTGACAGCTTTTTGGTGACAATGAATGATACTAAAATTATGTTTTTCAGATAGCATATATTCTACATAGTGCTAATGACAAATCATTGATATTAATTGATGAACTTGGCAGAGGTACTGATACAGAAGAAGGTATTGGCATTTGTTATGCTGTCTGTGAATATCTACTAAGTTTAAAGGTATTCTTTTTTATGTATGTTAAGTGTATTAATTTTGAATCTTTTAAAAATGTATCATTGATATATTTATCATGATTGGATTTTATACATACCTACAAGTAGATGTATATTTTAGGGAATGAAAACATGCCATAGCATATATTTTTGTTACTTCATTTCTGATGGAAGCAGGAACTATTATTATGATAGTATGTTGTAGAAAAGGAAAGAAGGAAATCAAGATGTATAAATGTTATAACTGTAGTTACTTGACTATAATTTAATCAAACTAAGTAGCAAAACAAGAAAGAATTTCAATAATTGTCTCCACGTGTAATAACATTGGCTGTGATATTACAACATGAAGTAAAACAGTAGACTTTTCAAGTCATTTTATGGAAGATTTATTTTACATAATATTTCATTCCTTTAAAGGTATCAGTTTTCTCAAAATCTTAGCAAATCGAATCCAACAATATGTTAAGAGTCATTCATCATGATCACATAGATTTTATATGGTGATGAAGGTTGGCATATGCAAATCAGTCATTCACTACATCAGATAATGAATGTTATCATTTAATTGTAGAATATAAAAATCAGAAAACAAATTGGCAAATTCTAGCAAAAATAATTCTAGAGTCTGTGAAAAATATACTGATTGCTAGAGGGAGAAGAGAGAGAGGAAGAAAGGGAATAAGATCATTTTCACAGGTATTTTGGTGGCTGGTTAGTGAAATGTACACATTTGGAAGTATGAAAATATACCTCCAGAATTATATAGTTGTGTAAATGACAAATTAATAAAATTTGAGGGAAAATATGTTTTTCGTAAATCTACTTTGTAAAATAAGCTGATTTTCTCTATTATTAAGCTTGTTTGTGAAATATCTTCTTAGATCGCTCAAAATATATCAGATACGAAGGAAGTTGTCATTTTTTCTTTTCTAAAATACCTTAAAATTACCCTAAGGTGCAGTCTGTTTTCTTAAATGTGAGTTCATAATATTTTTATTTTATAGGATGAGAAAAATATTTTTACTTAAAGAAAGGTATATTATGAATCAAAAGTAATGTTAATAGATACTAATTTTTATAATTCTGAATCTGTCAATTTCTCTTATGAGTAAGTTGTATGTATTGATTGCTAGGATTTAAAAAACTAGTTAGCTAAATTAGTTAACCATCTTTGATGGTTAATTTTTTGTGTCAACTTGACTATGTATGGACCATGGGTTCCATACATTTGGCCAAACACCATTTTGGGTGTATTTTGAGATTGTCTATGAATGAGATTAGTATTTCAATTCATAGAACCAGTAAAGCAGATTGCCCTTCTTACTGTGATATACCCCATTCAATCATTTGAAGGCCTGACCCTCCTGCGAATAAGAGGAAACTTCTGCCTGACAGATTTCAATCTGGAACATTGCTTCTAACTTTCCTACTTTAACTGAAACACCAATTCATCCTGGCTTTTTAGCCTGCCAGCATTTGGCGTGGAATTATACCATTGCTTCTGCCAGGTCTCCTGCTTGCTGATTGCACATTTGGGGACTTGTCAAACTCCAATTCTTTATAAATCTTTTCAATTCTTTCTCCCCACCTCCTCCCACATACCATATATGCAGCCTATTAGTTCTGTTTCTCTTGAGAACCCTGAATAATAAAGATGTTGGTATTGAGGCTGATTTTAGAGGAACAGAATTTTAATGAGTTTTTGAATTTTGAATTGCTAAAAAATATTTTTTGAATTGCTTCTGAGGTTTCTTGAATTGACTTTCTAATATGATTATATTTAAATATATTAGTGGCAATAGTACAGAGATCTGTAGTAATCCGTAGTGTCATCTGTCAACAGAAATAAGCAAAATAGCGGTATTGGTTATTCAGAACCACTTATAAACAAGGAACTGGGTAACTGTAGTATATGATATTTTCAAGCTTTTTTGGCAAGCTAACAGTATAATGAGATTGTTCCTATTGGAGCTGAACAGACTGGGGAAAGAAAAAGATGAGTTCAGGAATTCAAATTCCTGCATAAATTCTGGCATAGAAGCTTCTCTGTGTTACCTGAAGGAGACCACTATCTTCTGTAGACTTGAGAATACTAAAAATCAATCCCAGAATCTCATCCTGTGAATTTCTGAATTACTTGTAAGTTGAAAACTCTAACCACCTAGTAGCAAATTAGTTACTAATGGGAAAGAATGTGATCCTGAGAGTTGGAAGGGGGCCATGTAGGGAAACCCCTGTGAAAATGGAGACATTGAGTTCCTGAATTCTGATGAGGTCTTTTTGTTGTTATTTGTTTTTACTTTTTGCCAGTGGAACAGGCCTCACCACCCGCAGTGGGAGCGGCTGCTCTACTCCAGGGGAATTAACTTTGCATTAAATGAACACACTGTAATGGTCTCCTCTGAGACAGTTACATGTAAGATAATGCTGATTTTCTTCAGAACCCAACCCTACTACCACTCTTTACTTGTAGACTTATAATTAGATTCAAGTTCCAGCAGGACCCTAAAGGTGAGGTACAAAATGTGGCCATGAGATGGTACACTGTGTTTCCAAAGAACTACTTGAGTATTCTAATTTTCAAAGATAGAAATCTGGGGAACAGGTGTGAAACTTGGATATTAAGGATGTGGGATAATTATGGAGGGACATCAGGTTGGAGCAGGCTGAACCCCACTTCTGGATGCATAATTGGGAGAGATGTAGTTGGCAGCTGGCAGAATACCCACACTGAATACTCTGACCCATGGAATAAGGTCTATTATAGTAGGAATGGCCAAATGAAAGTTCTAAGAAGACCACTAGAATTGCTCTACCTAGGAAAATAGTAAACCATAAGCAGTACTACTTTCCCGGTGTGATTAGAAGTTAGTTAGACCATCAGGGATTTGAAAGATACAGGAATGGTGATCCTACTACATCCTCATTCAACTCACTATTTTACTGTGCAGAAGACAGCTGGATCCTGGAGAATGACAGTGGATTATCGCAATATTAACCAGGTGGTGACTGTAGATGCAGCTGCTGTGCCAGATGTGGTTTCATTGCTTGAACAAATTAATACATCCCCTGATACATGGTATACAGCTAATTGATCTAACGAATGTTTTTTCCTCCATACCTGTCAATAAGGACCACCATAGGCAGTTTGTTTTCAGTTGGCAAGGTCAGTATTACACCTTCACCATCCAACTCCAGCTGTCCAATTCTATGCCATAATTTAGTTTGCAAAGATCTTGATTACTTTTCTCTTCCACATTACATTGGTAACATTATGATAGTTGGACCCAGTGAGCAATGAATAGCAACTTCTGTACGCTAGACTTATTGGCAAGATGTCTGTGTATCAAAGGAGGGAAATAAATCTAGAAGTACCCAGGCCTTATACCTCAGTGAAATATCTAGGAGTGCAGTGTGTGGGACATGGTGAGTTATTTTTCTAAGGATAAGTTTTTATATACTTCCTATACCCTGGCTCTCCTTATAACCAAAAAAAAAACCCAACTGAGAGTCTAAAATTGTATTTTAGAGGCAGCATATTCTTCATTTGGGCTACTCTGACACTATTACCAAGTGACCTGAAAGCTGCTAATTTTGAGTGGGGTCCCAGAACAAGAGAAGGCTCTGTAACAGGTTCAGCCATGAAAACTGCTCTTTCACAGAGGCCATATGATTAAGGAGATTCAACAGTGTTTGAAAGTGAGTGTCAGCAGCAGATAGAGATATGTTTGGAACATTTGGTAGGCCCCTGTTAGTGAATTGCAGCACAAGCCATTGGAATTTTAGAACAAAAGCCTTCCATTCTTTGTGGATAACTACTTCCATTTTGAGAAGTAGCTATTAACTTGCTACTGTGCATGAATAGAGACTGAATAGGCCACCAAGTTAACATGTAGCCTGAGCTGCCCATCATGAACAGGGAGTTACTAACTCACCAGCCATAAAGTTGGGTATGTACTGCAGCACTCTATCAAATGGAAGTGGTATAGATATGATTGCCCTGGAGCAGGCCCTGAAGGTATAAGGGAATTATATGAAGAAATGGTCCAAATGATTATGGTCCCCACTTCTGCTACTTTTTTTTCTTCTCAGTCTGCCTGCAGCCTCATGGAGAGTCCCCTATGATCACATGATAACGGAAGAGAAGACTTGCCTCATTATTTAGATGGTTTTGCATGATATTCAGATGCTGCTGAAAAGTAGATAGCTGCAGCATCATAGCTCCTTTCGGGACCATCCCTGAAGGCCAGTGATGAAGGAAAATGGTCCATGTAGGCAGAACTTTAAGCAGTGCACAAATTTTTTTTGATTGGAGGGGGAGAAATGCCCAGATAGGCAGTAATATAACATCTCATGGGCTGTGGCCCATGGTCTGACTGGATGGTCAGAGACTTGTAAAGAACGTGAATGGGAAATTGGTGACAAGGAAATTTGGGGAAGAGATAATGTGAATAGATCTCTCTGAATGGGCAAACAATGCCAAGAATTTGTGTCACTTTGTATACACACAAAAGAATGGCCACAGCAAAGGAGGATTTTAATAAACAATAGGAATATCTGTTCTGGTGCAAAAATGAAAAATGATGTAATAAATATGTAAAATTAAAAAAAATAATAAAATAAAATAAAGGCACAATTCAAACAGAAAAAAATAAAGTTTTTTTTTTAAAGTTGAGGAAAGTGTTACCATTTAGTTTGTGGATTACTTCTCTAATAATTATTTCAAATGGTAGTTTTATTTCTGTAAATTTCATCTTTTCAGTATCTTCAGATAATTTTTAAGAATGTTCTGTAATGTAAGATATACATACATAAGTATATGTGCATATAACTAACACATTTCCTTTATTGAATGAAAATTTTCAGGACTTTAAATTGACCATGTTAACCTCAAAGTCATTGGCTTTATTTTTACATCTTTGCCAGACTACTTGTAAACTTAAATTTTCTTTACATACTTAAAATTGAAATTTCTAGTTTATTTTAAAACTACTAATATTTGTTGTTATATATTCTAGGCATTTACACTCTTTGCTACTCATTTTCTGGAGCTATGCCATATAGATGTCATGTATCCTAACGTAGAAAACATGCATTTTGAAGTTCAGCATGTAAAGAACACCTCAAGAAATAAAGAAGCAATCTTGTATACCTACAAACTTTCTAAGGGACTCACAGAAGAAAAAAATTATGGTATTACATGTAGAAATTATATCTATATATTGAAACATTGTGTATTTTGGTATGACAAACATTTTTCCCTCTACTTGGCTGTCAATTAAGGAGTTTCCCGTCTTTGGAATGTTTTTATGTTCTAAGGCTGTATTTTCTATGTCAGACCCACATTGTACATACATTAAGCTTAATATTAATAACAGTAAAATTGTAACATTATAAGGCCCTAGAAGTATTAGTTTCCATTCTTAGAAAAATGTAATTTAGCTAATAATTCTAAGTTCAATAATTAATTAAAAAGTGTATATTTCTTACATTTTTTTTTTAACTAATAGGGTGCTACCTGTTTTCTTCACATTCAGGAAACTTGAAAATCAGAAGTTTTTGAAACGGAATTTATTATCAAACCATATACTTTTAAACTTGATTAGATATTTTCTATTAAATCATTATGTAGCATGTGTAAAATATCACTGTGTAAATAATTATGTAACATTTCTACAATAACACAGAATTTTCAGTTGACTTATACATATATAAAGTCCTAGTAGTTATTTTATTTATAAGTGTGACTTGTGAGAGAAAAATCAAAGCATGTTTGATTTCATCTATTAAATGGGACTAATTTCCCATACATGTGGATTTGTCAAGATTAAATGAATTATCAAATACAAATTGCTTATAGGTTAGTAGCTTCTCAGTAAATACTAGTTTTGCTCCTATTGCCTCTAAAGCAATAAATACAAAAAACTATGAGCACACAGTGAAAATCTATATGGCATACAATAAAATTAAACTCAGAGGACATGAGAATTCTGGTGGTACTGTGAATTTGCATGGAGAGTAGTCACCTACCATTATATCTTCTGAGAAATTTCCCCCTCATTGATTTGCTAGACAGATAACATTCTGTTAGTAGACATTCTCTTCTGCAAAACCCATATATCCTTTGACCAATCAGCCAGTGGTCTTTGTAATTGGAATTCCAGTGTTCTTAGCTTTTTATTTTTTCTAATTACCTATTTTCCTATCATATTTTCTTGCTATCTCAGAGATATGTTAAGATGTAATTGATATTCTAATTTGTCTTATATGTCTTGGATAAATCTAATAATTTGTAAATTGTTATCTAGAATTTTAGAAAATTTAATTTTCAAAATTATGTATTTCAGAAATACCTATAGAAGGGAAGTTTAAATCTGTGAAGAAAAGGTGAATACTGGTTAAAACAAACATAATATTACCAAAAATAATGTTGAAACCCCACTGCTTGTAATTTTAGGTTTAAAAGCTGCAGAGGTGTCATCACTTCCTCCTTCAATCATCTTGGATGCAAAAGAAATCACAACTCAAATAACTGGGCAGATTTTGGTAAGAAACTCTTTAACAATAAGAATTATTTTTTTAATTCAATAAAATTTTTATTGAACCTTTGTATTGTACTTTTATTATGTCCTTGAATTTATATATATAATAATATTAATAATGAAAAGATTTAAATTAAAAACCTAATTCCTAAATAAATAAATCATTTATATTTCCAAAAACATTTTTGGTTTAATTGATTATAATCTTTCCCAACAAATAACTAATAAAATAGGAGTTTAAGGTTAAACAATTCAGTTCCTACAATTGCTACCCTAACTTTATAAGAAAATAAATTGACATAGCGTTAAGGCTAAGAATCATTATGTACAGCATTTTTTATATTTTTAATAGATTTCAAAACTTCATTTTCATTATGAATCTTACAACTTCACACAACAGATCTTCTTAATAAAAGGTATTAATAAAAGTATTATTTTTATCACAGCAGAGGTTCACCAATATTGTGATTTGCCAAGAAACAGCAAGATCCAACACAGAATGAACTAAAACTTGGGAATTTTTTTAACATCAGAATGCTTTATATTGTTTTAAGAATCCATTGCATTTGGCAAACTAAGCTAGGGGCAGTATGAAATTTTCTTCAGTACTAACATTTTCTGTGTCTTCATTCTTATCTGCCTTCAGGGTTTTTTTTTTTTTTTTGCTTGTTTGGGTTTCTTTTTCTTTCTTTTTTTGCATTCCTTCAGTCTTTTGAGATCCTGGACTGTCTTTATGACTTTACTTGCTTAATTACCCCATTTGAACCCATTTGTGATTAATTTTATCAGTGCTCTACTTTTGAAGACTCTTTCATTATCTACTTGTTCAGACCATATTTCACAAATTCCAATTATCGGCAACCTCTCCAAACCTTCTAGGATTTGACTTTCCAAATGATGCTCACAATTTATTCAAGATAGGCTACTTTTATTCATGAGAAATTCATATAGTCCATAACTTTAGTTGAATATTTTACTAGACAGAATTTTTCTTCTCTTTATTGATCTGAATGGTTTCTTTATAGTAACTTTCAAAGCATTTCATTCCCTGAATCCTCAGTCCCCTCATTTTCTACATTAATCACTTTCCATACTTTTGGGGTTATCTCAATGAGTTCTTGAACCTTTTTTCCTTCAAAATTCTAGTTTGGAATTTCTATTTTTCACCCATTTCTTCTCTTTCTTATCTTAGAGGAAAATGTTGCCTTTCAACCTATTTAAGAAGTTGACTTAAATGTTTTCCCCACTGGATTTTCTTTTTCCTATGAATAGGTTTTTTTTTTCCCCCTTAAGAAAATTTTTTTCACCTTACTTCTCAAGCTATATTTCTCTTCTTTTTGCTCCCAGATTCTCAAGAGTAATCTCTACTGTTTATTTTATTTTCCACTTGAAATGGGGAAGTTGTGATTGCTCTTATCAAAACTTTCCTCTGAAGTACTGACTATTCATAAAATCTTGTATTCATTTTCTTCATTTTTCTCCTTTAGTTTCTCTGTGGCATTTGATACTACCTCTTCTTTTTTAATTCTTCCCTATCTTTGCTACTATGGAATTGTCCTTTCTTGGGTGTTTTCATTTCCCCACCTCTTTGTGCCTTGTTATTACTCCACTTACTAAATAAAATTGTTAGTAAGACTGTGCCCCTTTTTCATTTTTAAAATTATACTTTTGATAATTTTCTCCATTTCCCCATTAAATTTTTATTTCCTTTTTACTCTAAATCTATGTATTTTTCTACATATTTCTTCTTGAAATTTAATCTATGTTTACATTCCTCAGTACTTTCAAAATTAACTTTATCTTCTGAAACATCTTCTCATCTCTTCACTTAAAATCTCCCAGTTACCTTTTAGAGTTATCTATGAATTTTCCTTAATAACTTCTCATTAGGACTATGCAGAAGGTTCTCCCTCTTTTCTGATTTATCCCAATATTTTTACTGGATTGTGTCCTAGCAGATAGCTCTGATCATGTTGTTTCCCTGCTCAGAAACTTTAAACTTCCAATTGTGTCATATTAAATAAAAGTCAAGCTCCTTCCTTAGCCTTCTTGTTAAAAATCTTCTTGTGAGATCATTTTTCAAAGTGAAGTTTTAGGATTATCTACTTTTGAATGGCCTAGGATAATGCATACAATCCTAGAGTTTCAAGTGTTTCCTTTGGCTCAATAATTTATATCAAGTATTCTTCAGATGATTCTTTCGAAGACATCAAGGTATAATTGACACATAAGATTACATTGGCTTCAGATGCACAGTATAATGATTTGATATTTGTATATGTTGGGCAATAATCACTACAATAAGTCTATCATCTGTCACTGTAAATGGTAACTTTTAAGAAGTACTCTCCTGGCAATTTTCAAATGTGCTCTATAGTGTCATTGTCTATAATTGCCCTGCTGTTCATTCCACCCCCATGACTTTTTTATTTTATTATTTTAAAGATTTATTTTTATTTATTTATGCATATAAGAACTAGGGTGCAGGGCCTCCCCAGTGGCACAGCGGTTGAGCGCGGGGTTGCGAAGCTGCCAAAGCCTCTGTGGCGCCAGTTCAATCCCCGGTTGCTCCCCGGCCACCGGAGGAGGGTCCCACATGGCGCGCAGACCTCTCCTGCCGCCCGCTGCTCCCCTCAGCAGTGTACTTCGGTCCTTCTGCCTGTTATATTCCCTGCTCTGGCTCTGGTGAATTCAATCACCCTCCCATGCTTCTGACTGTACCCAGTGCTTGTATAAATAAATAAATAAATAAATAAATAAATATTAAAAAAAAAAAAGAACTATCACATTAATTTAAAAAAAAAAAAAAAATAAGAACTAGGGTGCAGGCCAGAGATGGGGGGTTAAGAAGATTCGTAGAGACAAGAGTTGGGAGCAGAGCAGGCAGATCTACTGAAATGCACTGCTGAGGTGAGTAGTGGGCAAGACAGGAGAGGTCTGCTGTGCCATGTGGTTTAGCTCCCTGGCCAGGGATCGAACTCATGCCACAGTGTCTGGGATAGCTTGATAGCACTGAGACTAATCAACCCTGTGCCACCAGGGAGGCCCCAACTTTTTTATTTTATAACTGAGAGTTTATGTATTTTGACCCCCTTCAACTTCACTTCCCCTCCAAAAACTACTGCTTTTTTTTCTGTGTCTGTTAGTTTAGTTTCACTTTGTTCATTTATTTTCTTAGTTTCTACATATAAGTTAAATCATATGATATTTGTCTTTAACTTACTGTGTTTAGCAGTATTCTCTTAAGGTCCATCTATGTTGTTGCAAATGAAAAGATTTCATTCTTTTTATGATTACATAGTATTTCTTTATAGATGTATATGTGTGCATATATGTGTGTGTGTGTCGCGTATATATGTATATGTACATGTGTGTGTACCATCTTCTTTAGCCATTCATCCATTAATGGAAACTTAGGTTATTTCCATATCTTGCTACTATAAATAATGGGGAATGAACAAGGTGGTGCATATATTTTTTTAATTATTGTTTTTGTTTTCTTTGGGAAAATACCAAGACCTGTAATTGCTAGGTCATGTAGGAATTCTATTTTTATTTTTTTTTATTTATTTTTTTTAATATATATATTTTTTTTTTATAGAGGCATGTTTTCTTTCTTTCTTTCTTTATTTGTTTGTTTATTTTCGTTTTTATACATGCACTGGGTACAGTCAGAAGCACGGGAGGGTGAGAGAATTCACCAGAGCCAGAGCAGGGAGCAGAGCAGGCAGAAGGACCGAAGTACACTGCTGAGGGGAGCAGTGGGCGGCAGGAGAGGTCTGCGCGCCATGTTGGACCCTCCTCCGGTGGCCGGGGAGCAGCCGGGGATCGAACCGGTGCCACAGAGGCCGCGGGCAGCCTCGCAAGCCAGCGCTCAACCGCTGCGCCACCGGGGAGGCCCGGAATTTTATTTTTAATATTTTTGGATCCTCCATACTATTTCCAAAGTGGCTACACCAACTTACATTACCAACAAGAGTGTACAAGTGTCCCTTTTCTTCACATTCTTGCCAATACTTGTTGTGTCATGTCTGTTTGATAATAATCATTCTTACAGATATGAGGTGATAATTTCATTATGGTTTTAATTTGCATTTCCCTGATGATTAGTGATGCTGAACATCTTTTCATATGCCTGTTGGCCATCTGTATGTCTTTTTTGGAAACGTCTATTAAGATCTTTTGCCCATTATTTTAATTGGATTTTTTTTGTTTGGTTGGGTTTTTTTTGACATGTAGAGTACTATAATGTAGTAGAATTTGCAACAAGAGACAGTGGTTACACTGACATGTAACTCTACAAGTTTAAAATGAGAGGGCCTATGTCCAGCATAATTTGACGTCAAATTACTTATTAAAATACCTCTGTATTTCAAATTTCATAGTAATAAACATTTTATTCTAAATCTCTAAATTTTCTTAGCAATATTTTATATTTAAATCTCAATTATATTTTAAAGCTGACTTTCTTTTGAATAGGAATTAGTAATAAAAACTGAAAACAGCTTATCTAACCAAATTTCTTTTTTTAATTTTTTATTAATTTTTTAAATTTTTTACATCATTTTTCATTTTTAAACAATATTTGTTTCCTCCCACCCTCTCAGCTGTAGTCCCCATAGAGTTTCCTTCACCAGTGCACCCGTGCACCATCTCCTCAGTCCCCTGTGCTCCTCCCTCCCTCCTTCTGATCCCTCTTCCTCCTTCTCCCCTGCAGGATGTCTCTGATTTATAATAGTCTGTTTTTGCTTTGTTGTGTTTTGTACTGTTATTATTTGTTTACACTGATGTCTTATTTAGTTCCCTTATATTCCTGTTATAAGTGAAACCATCCGATATTTTTCTTTTTCTTTCTGGCTTATTTCACTGAGCATAATTCCTTCTAGTTCCATCCACGTTGCTGCAAATGGCATGAGTTTATCTTTTTTGATTGCTGAATAATATTCCATTGTGTATATATGTCACATCTTCTTGATCCAGTCATCTATTTTTGGGCATTTGGGT